TGTCTGGAGGTGCTCGGGTAATTGTTGGAATATGCAAGGTCTACCGTGCACTGATAAAGAAAATGACAGAAAATCCTGCAGGGGGCAGCAGAGGGGACAACTAGTTAGCATAGTGAGATTAGGGACTTCCTACTATTTTCAAATAGTCTCCTTCCTGTCTCTTGATTGGTTCAATTTGAGTTTTTCTTGCTCCTGCTGAGATATCTTCTTTACTGACTCTCTCCTAGCTAGTTAGACAAACTTTTCTTTATCCTCTTTCTTACAAAGTTTGTTCTCTTCTTAATAAATCAATTTCATTATTTAATCAGCTTTTGCTCTGATTTACTGCATATCTACACTCTGCCAACAGTAATTAAGGAAGTTACCATTATATATTTAACATTAATGGTTATATTATTGTAGATGAGCTAGACTCCTTAGCGATGGTAGAGTATAAAACTCCACCAAGACTTCCAAATCCACCACAACTGAAGTGACAGTGAAACATCCAAGTTTGTAGAAGCACACCAAGGGTTGTTGTGCATGTGAGTCTTCTGAGCACCCTAACAGACCATGTAACAAATGTTAATAAAACACACAAACACTTCTAAATGTTAATATTGACAATAACATTCAAGCTGACATGTTCTACACAGCATTTATTTCTATTTTAATTACTGTAAATTATATAAATCACAAACGGTTCCTCCTGCATAGCAGTTGTCTGCACAAATTGGTCAACTAAGTACTGATGCTGTACTTTTTTAGTATAAAGTTCAGGACTATATGGTAGTTAGCTATCAACCACTGCATTTAACTACAGAGAGATACAAACCTTTGGAATATAAATTATTTGCCGTTACAAAAAAAAGGCAACTGTATTAGCTAGTTAAGTACAAAAATCTTTTAACTTCTATAAATAATGAACCATAAGAAGCTCAATAAAACAACACATACTTAACAGTATTTGAACATGGAAGCCGAGACATGTGGCACATTATACAGGGTGGGGTGGTGGAAATACTGAACATATTAAAGATATTCAGAGGTATAAGCACAAGGGACAGACATGGGAACGGCACAATGAACATTTTAGAGCTGGTAGACAAAAGGAGCCACTGACGGTAGTAAAGCATTAGATGTCTGACAGAAACCTGTCAAAACAGCTGCTGTTAGATACTGATTGATAATGTTTTTATTCTGACTGCCAAAGTACTGCAGACACTCATAGGTCTGAGAAGAAAGGAGGGGGGGAGCCCAATTGAATGTGGGCATGCAGTCGCACACTCACACATACTCCAAAAGCAATTTAACAGATGTCTACAAGAATCTTATGCCTCCACAGTATTCTCTCTCTCTCTAAAAAAATACTCCAATATTCATAACATTTAATGACTTTCCATGACAAGTAATTCCCAATAATGGGATTTATTTCATCTATATGATGAACGTTCAGGATGAGCTTAAAAACAAACATTTTAACAGAGAGGAGTACGAATTGTGTTGCTGTTGAGAGGTTAATTTACATTCAGATACAATTTAGTGTTCTTGATAATGTGACATTAATTAATCTTACTGCTTTAAAAATGTGAACTGTTTAAAGATATAAAAAAACTTTACAGATATGCTAAAATCCAGTTATAATTACAGAACTACCAAAGGCGAACGACAATGAAAAGGTACATGTCAAGCATATCTGAGGTATCATTTCATTATGCACCCGGGAGTGAACAGCCAGGTATCAATGTCTGATGAAAATCCTTGGATAAACGAACTTTTCTTGTGTCCTAAGTAATTTACTAAAAAGTCCTGCAGCCAATCTGATGTAGATTTATTCACAAGTCATGTCACACTGAGTTTAATCAGGCTTACTTACACGTGCACTGTCCTATAATTTCTTTTACAATGAGCTTGATGCCTTGGTCTCCATTTCCCTAGTAAAGCTGTTTTGCTACACAGCACCTAACAGGAGGGGCTGTATGTTGGAGATATAGCAACTGCAATGTAAGTCAAAACACTCAGTAAATTTGATCTGTTGGCGAACAAATTTATTTTCAAATATGGCCATTAGGCCCACATTCCAATGATTTTGGCCCATTAAAGGTAAGAAAGCCAATTAGAAAATTGTTTTCTCCTGATTTTTAAAAAAGCAATGAATTGATTACTCAGTTGCTCTTTTTGTGTCAAAAAAGGGGAAAAAAGAGTCTGGAACCTGTACACATCACTTAGAGGAACCATAGCCCACTGATAATGATTTATGGGTTTCTCAAGATGACACTGGGGTGCAATGTAAGAGATTAACTGGGAATAATTATTTTAAAAGATACCTGTAAAACGTGCATCTCAGGATGACTACAGCCAAACAATGGCAAAAATCACTAGATGCCTTTAGTTGTATGGGTTTTAAAACGTTTGATTAACTTTAAGTCTACTTCTGATATTCTGGTCAACTTTAACTCTTCTTCTATAGTAGAAAAGTGCAACAGTCCAGTAGCACCTTAAAGACTAACAAAATACGTGGCAGGGTATGAGCTTTTGTGAGAGACTGCTCACTACATCAGACTCATACCCTTCCACATATTTTGTTAGTCTTTAAAAGGTCCTACTGGACTCTTGCTCTTTCCTACTGCTACAGACAGACTAACATGGCTATCCATCCTGATCTATCTTCTTCTATAATTAATTTTAAAAACTTTGGGCTGGATCTCAATGTGTCTCATGGAAGGACTCATTTTGTGAATGAGATACATGCCTTTAGAATCCTCCATGGTTTCAATACAATCCCTTATTTAACAGCCTTGCTACTAAAGAGTATATCATCATATGGCACCCTTCTGCAGGAACAGAAAATATAAGAGATCAGCACTCCAAAACACCAAGAGTACTGATGTATCAAATTGCATTATATACTGAGATGTTGTTTCTCACATTTATACACTGGAGTATAATATTTTTTCAAAAATTCTTTAAAAGTGACAGATAACTTGCGCTTACCCTTGAAAATAATAATAAAAAACACCCAAGACTCCAAATCTACAAAAACAAGACAAAATGCTGCAACATTCATATTCTTGGAACAAAATGGATTGCTTTCACATTTAATGACAAACACTCTTGTCTTTGAGATTAAGCACTTTCTACCAACATTCATCCTGAACAATGTCTGAAAGCAAAGCCAAGCCCCTGAAAATAGGGGTATATAAGAAACATGGACAGACTACCACATAATTCAGGGACACTTATACCTTAAAAAAATCCCATGGAATTCTAACATAATACTAATTATGTAGAATACTTCTAATCATTATTTAAACTTGCATATCACAGTTGCACCATAGCTGTTACTAAGAGTGAGCTTCCATTCCTCATCATTTTTTTAGAGTAATCCTAAACAGATCTACTTGGCATCCTACTGTGGTCTACTCAATGGGCTTATTCCCAGGAAAGTCTTCTTGGGATTTGCACTGTAGGTTAATTTACATCTATAAATTTACAAAGGCTACTCTTTGTACTCAAGATAATTCCAAAACCATAACTCAATACTGATATTCCCATTGTCCTGGCTTCACCTCCCATTTAATGAATGGTTGGTCTCATTAAGAATTAAAAAAGTAAATGTTAAAAGGTAGGTATGTGCATTCAATAAGGCTTCCAATTAATGTTTGCACCAAAAGTCATTCCTGTGACTCCAAGCAACTGTTACTTCCAGCTATCCAAAGTGCTCATACCATACAATAGCTAGAGCACGGTGGAACACTATTTTAGAATTATGATTAGTTCTTTTTGTGTCCATTTATAGGTTGTTTTAAGTTTTGCACATGCAGCACAATTCCATATTATCGTGTTTTTTTACGATCACGCAATGCCACATAGTGAGCAGAACTGGTGGTAAACAAGAGGAACTCCCCATTTCAGTAGTATAGACAACTTTGCCAAAAAGAATCATGACCAGATTCACCGAACTTATAAAAAAAGTTTTCCAGACTAAACGCAAAAAAATATATTTATTGCAAGCTCTAATGCAGTCTTCTCAATATCAAACCATAATTCAGCAGAAAGCAAAACGAACAGGTACAACACTATCCAACAACCATTGTTTTCTTCAGATTCGGGGAGGCTCAAGGTCTCTGTCCTCTAGTAAATTGATCAGCAGGCCGAAGCTGTCTTTTACTGCTTCCATGTCATCCAAGGAACATGGCTTAAGTATCCAGCGTTTTCCTCGCGCAAGTGGTTCAAGTTCCAAATATTTTTTTATCTGTTTAAAAACAAAAACAAAAAAAATCCAGAAAGAATTGTCATATTTGCTTTTCACCTTTACCAAAAGGAAGAAAGAAGGGGGGGGGGGGACAAAATCTCTTGAGATGCTTGTTTTTAGAATTACTACACTGCTGTTTGTAAAATACAGGTTATATGTTGTGACCTCAACATGTTTTCTTTTGCAGGGACTGGCCTGCTTCCAAACCACCATTCTATCAATACATTAGCAGCACATGAGGTCTGTGAAAGAATTACACATGCTTTTATGACACTGGCTGACACATACCGAGTGTTCAAAATGAATGGAACACAAAGGGGGGGGGGAGAAATCTAATCAATAGCATGATTTCAATTTCTGGATTAAAGCATCTTCCAACTTGTCATGCAGAAGTTTATTACTGAACCAGATACAAGGTCTTTATGAAGCCCGGTGATTCTTATAATTTGCAGCATGTTGGCATGTCCTTGAAACCAGCACTGTTCAAATAGCTCAGACAATGAGGTTTTTCTTTTAGTTGTAGGTTTCAATATTGTGATGATAAAAGCTACCCCCAAAATATTTTCTACTGAGCATCTACCAGTTGTTTGGGACTACAAACAAAATATTAGTAGCGTGGGAAGGACTAGAGATCTCTTCAAGAAAATTGGAGAAATCAAGGGAGCGTTCCATGCAAAGCTGGCCATGATAAAGGACAAAAACGGTAGGGACCTAACAGAAGCAGAAGAGATTAGGAAAAGATGGCAAGAATACATAGAAGAACTATACAAGAAAGACCTCATTGTCCTTGACAACCACGACGGTATAATCACTGACCTCGAGCCAGACATCCTGGAATGTGAAGTTAAATGGGCCTTAGAAAGCATTACTAACAACAAAGCTAGTGGAGGTGATGGTATTCCAGCTGAGCTATTCAAAGTCTTAAAAGATGATGCTGTTAAAGTGCTGCACTCAATTTGCCAGCAAATTTGGAAAACGCATCAGTGGCCACAGGATTGGAAAAGGTAAGGCCTGGCGTGATCTGGTCCATGGGGTCGCAAAGAGTCGGACTCGACTGTGCGACTGAACAACAACAAAAATCACAAGCTGAGGTTCTAAGTTGCAAATGCACTTACAAAATTACGACATCTCCACACATTAAAATTTAAACGCAAAAATGCAAATACTAAAATATCATTCCATATCAACATACACGAAGCGAGCTAATTAGGATGATACAGTAGCAAGCTCCATAATGTTACCTTATGACAATAAGCATCAAGTAAGAACGTCTAAAGTTTCTGTGGGGCTCTACCTGCTCCCTTGCCCCAAATTTATGGACAGCTGTGAAACATGAGGACTGCATGCTCTCCCTCTCCCAGCCTCTGAAAGCCCAAGTGTCTAAATCTACCACTGGACTAGCAAGCTGTGATCTCTCTGGCCTCTGTTCTTCTCCCTTGAGAAAAACCTGCATTCAGCACTAGGAACCATTTGGAGATAATGGCAGCTACTAGCAGCAGGAGTCACCCTAGCATATTGTAACAAAGAACTAAATATCAAAATAGCTGCATCCCACAAAGGCCAAAATATCTAATTCCCTCCAACAATAAAGCGGTTGACAATGGCAACCCTTCTCAAACAGAACCTCTCAGTGGACTTCATTAGCTTCATCTGTCAATGTCAACGCTGAAAATCCTAACATATTTAATTTTTTTTAAAATCCACAATTCAAAATGTAACTCATTTAGAGTACCAGCTTCATAACATAATTTATACATATGCTAACAGGAATCTGGACTATTGCCGTATGCAACCATGCAATCCTAAGCAATTACTCTAGTCTAAATACTTCAGCTTGGATCTCACCTAAATCTCCCCAGGTGAAAAGAGGGGGGGTGATTTCTGCTCACCCACCATCCTGCGGGAGACCTCAAAGCCCTCCAGAGCAGAGCAGAGGCCCAGATCCAAGCTCCTGATTCAGTAGGTTTAGACTAGAATAACTCTGCACAGAACTGCACTGTAAAGCACGCATGTGATAATTTTGACACCGCTGAAAAGGAACACATCACATTGATGTTAAAACCTGGTACGTTAGCCACATAATTTAAGCAAAAGGAAGGACTTCTGTGGCTTGTTTCAGCAAATACAATCTGACAGCTATATGCAGAGAGAAAGCAAAAGCTGCACTAAAACATAACAAAATGTAGTTTCAGTGCAGCCACTTGATAACAAAGCCAGCTGGTGCTAAGCGGACAAAAATGGCTGAGTAACCTGAGATTTTCATAAAACTCCAATGTAAAGAATCCCTAGCAACCCTCGTACCCCCCCTTTACAGGCCACTGTTCCTTGTCCCACTAACTATCTTAAGGCCCACATTTGTCAAGGTATTTAAGCCTACCTGATGGAAAGAGCAATTTGCTTAAACACCTGTAATATCAAACTCCGTTACAGACTATTACAGGAAACGGAAGACAATACTGAGTGCACACTGGTCTTTTTGACCAGTGTCAAAAAAAGCTGCAATAACCAATGGTCTGAACAAATAAATATAGAAGTGGGTTGCAGAATACTAGTCCACAGCGTTCTGTGATCGGAGCAGCACAATATGAAACAATCTGTATCGAAGACAAATATTAAATGTAACCGCTGCTTTTTGTATCTGAAGAAGTGCGCGCGCACACACGAAAGCTCATAGCCAGAATGAAACTTTGTTGGTCTTAAAGGTGCCACTGGACTCAAATTTTGTTCCGCTGCTTCAGACCAACACTGCTACTCACCTGAATCCATTACTTTTTGTGTTATGCAAAGAACATAAGTCAACCTAGGTCTAAATAGTTCCTCTCATTACTCAGACAAACTGTTCCCGTGTTGAAAGCCCAAGTCAGGGTAGCTGACGAAATCAGGAGAAACAGATAATTTTGTGGTAGCTTTTGATGCCGTGACCTTTGGTGATGCCATACGTACCTCTCATGGATGCTCCCCCCCCCCCCCCAAAAAAAAACCCGTTTCTGATCTATGGACCAAGAAAATGATATTCCTGTTCATGTTACTTAAAGTTTCAGTAGTACATTCAGGGAGGAAAAAAAGCTATCACAAGATCCTACAGCTCTACAATTTGAGAAATCACACATAGGGTTTTTTTTTTGGGGGGGGGAGGGTAGAGCTTCATACAGAAGTCTTTTAGAGTTGAAACAGACCAATGAGCAGTGGCTCACAAAAGCTCATACCCTGCCACAAATTTTGTTAGTCTTTAAGGGGCTACTGGACACTTACTCTTTCCTACTGCCCTTTTATGTAAAGCAGGGTCATTGTTTTAAGAATACTTGTCTGAAAGTACTCTCTTCCAATCAAAAGACCAGAGCCTAAACAGAAAAGTGTGGTCTATGTTTCAGTTTAAGGTGAAGAGAAGAGCCAAAAAAGCCAGAAGGCACACTTGATTGCTTTTATTGAATTCGGTTATTAATATAGAAATTTTCTAATATTTTATCCCAAGTCATTTAGATGTTATGAAGCTTCCCAGTTCCTATTCTTAAATTCTGAGCCGCTCTGATAGGCAGAGGTCATTTCGGGGGGGATCGTGGGGGAACACAGTTCCCCCGGGTGAGGTACGGGGGGCAGGGCACATGATGAAGCCCCGCCCCCTGCTTCCGGCCGCCCCGCTTCCGGCCCTCATTCAGCCAGGAGGAGGCAGGAGAAGAGGGAGGGTAAGTTGCTTCCTCCCTGCCTCTCCCCACCCCTGCCTGCCTGGGGCCAGGGAGGGCCTTCGCGGGGCTTCCTTGCACTCCCGCCGGCCTTGCAGGTCCACCGCCGGGCCCCTCATGGGGCTCGGCAGTGGAGCTGCAAGGCTGGCACCGGCGGCCCGGACCATTGGGGGCAGGGTGTGTGGCCTTATGACACATTTCCGGTGATGTCAGGAGGTGTGGCCTTATGACACACTTCTGGTGATGTCAGGGGGTGTGGCATATGCTAATGAGTTATGCTAATGAGTTCCCCTAGCTCTTTTTCTACGAAATGACCCCTGCTGATAGGACAATGTCTGCAGAGGTTCCACATTCTGGGACGTTTTGTCTCCTTCACAGTTTGAAGGGTCAGAGGCATGAGTGGAGATTTGCTTTTAGTTCTTTGGACCCAACCCATTGTAACACGAGCCCAACGGAAGGCTACTCAATATCTGACCAGCAGATCTCATCTCACTTTTCCAATGGGATTGCTGCAATGTCAAATGATGTGCCAAAGGAAGGTGCTTCAAATATGCGTATGATGCAGCTTCCCTTTTAACCATTCTAGTAAGGAGCAGCTCTGCTGCTGTGGTTAAAATCACCTGTTCAGTGCAGGAGCCATTCCATGAGACTCCCTATACCTTCTGCTATAGCAGTGGGAACTGCACACGGAAGGAAGCATTGGAAGTGCCTAAAACACATTTCGATCAGGAGTTGTGTTTAATCCAGCTCAAACTTTTTTACTTGCTCTGGAGTTCTTGTACAAGCAGAAACGAAAGAAAAGGACTGTGGGTAGCCACTTGTGCTGTCAAGACTTCTTGCATCCTCACTTGTGTTTTCACTTGTGAAAGATTTTGTGCAGCCAATTCCTGAGCGCTACAATATATAGGGAAGGAAGGGCTGGCTATTGCACAAGATCTTCTGCAAGTGGAACTATACTAAGTCTGTTTACGTTCCCACCTGTGCACTGTTGGATCCAAGCCAACAAATGTAGCGAAGGAGCTCGACAACAGAAAAGTCCTCATTCTCCAGTATTCACTCGCCTTACGTTCAAACGTAAGGCACACAGAACAAGGCCTCCTTGTCATACCACTGCCCTGTACCAACAGATATACTTACAGATTTTCTAGAAATACAGACTTCTTCATTTATTTCAGTGAGAAGGTAAAGAGTACACATGCAGAGATGATCATCGACTCCAGTGAATGAGGCAAATAACACATGTATGTACTCTATTGCATTCTGCATAAAAGACAACTGTTCCTAAGCAAGCAAGCTATTTCAGATCTACATTTTTGGGGG